ACGGTCAAAATAATTTAACAATTGATATTATTTGTACCCCTAGACGCGATTTTAATAAAATGTTTGGAAGTTCTCGTTATAAGTAATCTCCGTCTCCGCAAATATTTTTTTTTTATTTATATGTAATTTTTCTGAAGTATTCGTTGGGCTAAGCTTCTCCAAGCCCACCCCATTCAATTAGCGTCTACGTTTGTATCAGATTCTAAATTCGGATACAATTAAAATCGAACTCGTCGGTTATACATAATTGGTATGTTGTTGTACAGTACGTTTAAAAATATCTTATACAATAACTTGAGTTATACTTTTTTACAGTTAAACTAGAGGGATTGTAAAATGTACATGATATATCATTTACTATGTGTTGTACGTTTAAAATATACACTTAAATATTATTTCTGATTTCAAAGACAAAACGACGTGCAATCGATCTCTATGTTATGTTAAGTATCACTACTCGTTAATAACCTAGCAAGGCCATATGAACCACTATTATTAATATTTTAGGATTATCATCTTTTGTTTAAATAAGAGATGACTAAAAAATAAGCAATTTCCACATTTATTTAAAATGTATGATTTTTCATTTTTATACTTGTAAAGTTATTAATACTAATGAATAACAATTGTTTTGCACAGTTTTTTTAGACTTTAATATACCAAAAGATTTGTCAAATGTACATTTTCAAAATATTCACTGGATGCTTCTAAAATATTAAACTATTTATTTATACTTTCTTAATTGCAATAGAATTTATCGCTTTCTTATGTCTTCGTCTAAATTTATTCTGTAGAGAAAATTAAAAATATGTCACTTATATGTGGTGTGATAGACATATTACCTATAACAGTTCTAATAATGTCCAGTTTTGAGTGACTTTTCGTTGTTTATGAAAGAATATGAAAATAAAGAGAAACTATGATTTGACANATGTGGTGTGATAGACATATTACCTATAACAGTTCTAATAATGTCCAGTTTTGAGTGACTTTTCGTTGTTTATGAAAGAATATCAAAATAAAGAGAAACTATGATTTGACAACTGTACACCCAAAGAAAAACCTCAATCAAAATTGAAAGAGAAATTTTATCAAGGGTTTATGATAATGTTTTATTAATACGAACAAAATAACTATTCTTATAAATAATTATTGTTCAAGACAAGAAAAAAAAATATCATATTGATAAATATATCATTGATTCAATAGTAATGATATATTTATCAAATTGAACAATGAATTTATTATATAGATCGAGGTTTTTCTCTGGGTGTAGAGATATTATAGAAAAACGAAGTAAGGTTTGACAAGAAAAGATCCATAACCAATCGCCTGATAATGTGGAAGATTACCAGGAACACAGAAAAATAGCAAGTAAGAAAATAAGCAACGTAAAAATAGAGTAGGATAAACAAGAAGCATAGAAGAGTTAATGATCCGTAGATGAATCCACCGCTTTATTTGGAAAACGTAAGTCTTTCAAAAAAGGAACTCGAAACCAAAAGCTCCATAGTTAAAGATGCCAATGGTTGCTTGATTATAGAGAAATAAAATATAATTGAACAACCTGAAGCCATTTCGAAGAATTCCTGAATATCTATGAATGAATTAAAGCTTTCATGGATTGTCCTATTGCTTGAAATGTATACACGTTTTGAGCTGACTTTTGGGACTCGTATCAGAATTCATCTTCAGTGCGATAGTTACAGGCTCATGATTTTAACAATATAAACAAGAACAATATGCACAATAGTAATTAATTGAAAATTTCATCAGGAAACAAGGAATATTATGCACTTGTAATATTTTTCAAAACGAAACTACTGTCCAGGAGGTCAAAGGAATACCTTATACTCCAGTTTTATACAACCGGTACTGGCGCTTGAGTGTGAAACTTGGACGGTGACTAGATGAGGAGAAGATGACGGATCTTTGAAAGATGAGTACTGCGTCGAATTTATGGCTTTGTAGTTGGTAATGGAAAATATAAAAGAAGAACTAATCAAAAAATCTACCAGTTGTTTCAGAAACTCATTATTAGTTCGTATCTAAAGAATAAAGATAAGAATGGGCGGATCATATTTGGAGGTCTGAAGGTTTAGCAAAAAATATTTTTATTGGAAGACTGAACGGGAAAAGAAATTTTTGTATCGGCCGACCCCGAGGATCGAGACAAAAATGGACGGACAGGGTGACGAAGGATCCACGAAAATTTCATAATAAGTTTGGTCTTCTCCGGAAAAAAATAAAAATTGAAGACACAAAACAGAGATAGATGGAAAGGAGTAGTAAGAAGGTCATAACAGGACTGTAATTACTGAGAAGAAAAAGAAAGTATTTTACTAAGTGAATTCGATGATTGCATATACCAAGTTTGTCTGTAAGATATACATGTATATCAAGCATGGTAGCCTCATTTGTTTGAACACATCAATCTTAAATATATCAGTTTCAATCAAAACTCTATATATATACTAAAAATGTTATACATGCATTTACTTACAGAATAAATATAATTTAAACATTTATTACATACTATTCTTAAATTATTAGTTATGTAATATTTTTTAAGTTCATCTCTTAGCCTTGTAATGGTGTCAACTTTGTTTTTTTAAATTTGGAACGCATGGAAATTGAATTTTTAATATAACTATATTCGTTTTTTTGATGTAAAATTTTAAAGTTTCAAATCTTTTATTTAATATACATGTATAAAACACGAGGAATTACAAGTATAGGTAGCTAATTGATTTTTTATGGCTTTGGTATTCGTAGATACGCAGCATTTATTATCAATGGAAATAAGGTACATTGTTGTGAATTTATAAATACACTAACTGGCAATACAGAAAGTATATCTATTTATAGTTATAATTGATAACATACAATTAAGTAATAATTGAAAATTATGAAAAATAATGGTCTTACCACAAGAATATTTGATTTCATTTACCTTTTTTCATAACCAGAAAAATTTTTTTTACAATAGTTCAATAAAAATGTATATTTTCATGGCATGTTGAAATTCTTATGTTTTTAACTTTACGATAGATTAAATTATTAAAATGTTTTTTAAAATATAAATAAAGTGTGATTTATTATTATTTACGGTTCACAATAATTAAGAAAATTACTGATTGACAACAATTTTTGGATCAGTATAACCGGAAGCGAGACGCAGCTGTTGTGGTTTTTATCACTAGTTAATTTCCGAACGTACTCTTTTCCAGTCTATAAACAAAAAGGTCAATATTTTCCAAAATTTTGTGAACCAGTCATTTTCTTAATTGGATAATTTTTTATTTTATGAGCTTGTTTAATATTTATGTTGTTGTTTGAAAAAATTAATATGGCACACTTGTATGGTATAACAGATGAACGTAAAAATTACATCACATTTGATAAATTGAGTAAAACATGTACCTAAAAGAATTAAAAAAATTCAATCTTTTTCTTTTTCATCGCCTTTATCCGAATTACTTGGGGTCATTCACCCTTATTGTCATTTTTCACATTAAACAATCTCTCACACCATCTACGCACACAATAGCCGTAATCAATATAATATAATCAATAATTTTTTTTATTAATTAAGCGTTTCACGATAAGTGAATCGATCTGTATGTATGATATCATGAGCGATTTGAACAAGTTGTAATTTAAAACATTAGGTTTGCACAGAATTTTTAAAGAAAATTACTGAAACTTAATATTAAATTACACGTCGGAGCCAATCATTTTTTACAAGTGTAATAAAAGTTTACTACTGGCGAGTAATAAACTGGTAATGTACCGGACAATTTTTACAGTCGCATTGGATCGTATTTCTCGTGTTGTAAGTCGCAAAATAAGTCAATTAACAATCTTTACTAAGCTAAAACTACAGTACTCGTTTGAAATAAATATAATTCAAAGAAGCCTATCAGCAACAAAGTTTATTCAACATTTTAATATTTATTAATTTTTTTGGTATTATTAATTGATTAATTATTACTGTATTGCGAAAATATTACATCGTGTATATGCTGTAATATCGATCTGAATATGTATAGATATAACACTTTTTCGCGCGTTCAATGGTCTTTCAAAAAAATACTTTTTATGAGGGAAATATATATTTATTTTCTTAAATTTAAACAATGTTGCGAAGACCATCCTTCACAAAAATCGAAGGGAACACGATTGGTAAAATGGTGTAGCGGAGTAAGAGAGGTTGAATTCTCCACTAAGGAAATGCTGGAATGAAAAGTTAGACCGAAATTCTATTTTATGAATTAGTCTACCCTTAAGTTCAGCTATACTGGAGAAATATTGTGTTGATTTAAAAACACGAGTAAATTCATTCAAACACTGCGATTAAAACAAATCAATATCTGTGTATTTATTTTTACTCGATTAAGTCGATCAACGATAACCATTCAAAGACAGGGCTATGATTTCTGCGACAGCATTTGATATTCGAGTGTTGCGCAAATACCATACCGTGTTATGAATTAATAAAAAGACTGCGGTGAAATTTTATTCGTTTTTTTTTTTGGCGAGTCCTCTTATTTATTAACCAAACACGAGGAGAAGGCAGTTACGTTTTGCTTTAATATACGGAGCATGAAGTGATTGCGTTTTTCAGGATGTTTTTGCGGTTTATGTGTGTGTGGCTTCAAGTGATGTAATTGCTTTCACATAGTCGTTTGATCGATGCGGTTATTGACGACGGTGGAGGGTTGGCCGAGTGGAAACGGCAGAAGGTGTAGGCGCCGCCCATTCTTCATCGTGACTGTCCCGAGGAGGGAGTGGTCTCGGGGCGTAACGGAAAACCCATAAACGTGTGGACGTGCTCGGGTCTTGTGGGCGAGAGAGAGTGGGGTGGAGGTTGCAGCAGCAGCAACAGTAACGACAGCCGTAGTAGGAGGAGGAGGAAGATAAAGACGACGACGGCGGCAATGTGGACGAGGCGGTGGAGGCGGCAGCGGAGGCATGCACACGGCCGGCGAGCCGACCACAGTTATTGTTATCCGGTGTGGGCCTGCAGTACGACGCGTATGCTGCGGATTCGCTTGTCCGTTTGTACTCGATCCGATAGCTTATCGGCGACAGCGATTTTCGTCTCGAATAATAATCATATTAGTTTATGAGTGGTATTTCATTCATCGTTGATTGTCGTGTGTTAATTCTATATTTTTTATTTATTTATTGTTAAAAATTAAAATTAAAAAAAAAAGCCTTTGCGATACGTTCGCTTTTGGTGCGCGTGCCACAGTCAAAGTTGCATTTATGGTGCCGGGCACCACCACCACCATGGAACAAAATTTTACGATGCGGCCGTGTGCCACGGATTTCTCGGTGGCCGCTATTCTAGCCCGTCGCGACCAAGGAGTGGCCGCGGCCGCGGCCGCCGCGGCTATAACGGCAAAGACGGCGGTCGGCCATCAGAACGGTGCGCACCACCGGCATCATCAATATCATCACCGTCGTCAAAAAGAATCCTCTCCGGACAATCAGGGTGAGAGAGTCTCTATTTATAACGAAAATAAAAAATATTATTTCAGCGATATCTCGTTGATTTACACAGGTTTTAATTATTAGCAGATTTGTTGTTTTTGATCTCTGTAAAAAACAAAATTCGAAAACTATTCGTTATCGATATGAACATTTAAACGTTTTTTTTCTAAAAACCGATCACTCATTCAGTCGAAGTTATTTTTTACGACTCTAACAATTCTCTGCCCGGTCAGTCGATTTCCAATCGATTATAAAACTAATTAACGAATAGGTTACCACTGCCGCGTTAAGCCTATCGCGAACCGTTAATTAAATCGAAACAATTAAATTTAATCCGCATCGGATCCACTGGTACATGAATAATTGTCGCGCGTGTAATCTCAAACTGACTAAACAATCGATTCAAAATAAAAACAATACGAACGATTTTGATATTTCGTCTCATGCAAAGTCAATTGAAAAGAATTTGTCGTGTGCATGTTTAGGCGTACACGTGTTGAAAATTTAATTGTTTTTGTAGCCAACACGATTTGTACGCCGACACGTTCGCGTCGTGTAAGTATATATTTATTTATGAAGTCTAGAACTTAATTTTGGGCGTTTCAAGTTATAATAATACCTATGCAAAAAAAAAAATCGAGTGTAAATATGCAAAAAATTGAAATATGTTTAAACATCGAACGTATCTTGATGTATTAATGTGTGTACACGTGTAACCTATTACCGGATGGTACAGGTCTGACTGTCGACTTTTGCGATACGATTATCATTTGGCTGTAATTTGTAAAAAAAATGTTGTTTTTTTCAATTTAAAAGAAACCGTTTCCGCGCGTTTTTGTAAAAAATGTGTACTTTTCAATAACAATTTTAATGCGAAATTAATAATCGAGTTACAATCATTTTAATATATAGAGTGGAGGGTGTGTAGCATGGGGAAAATATACGATTTTAGATATACACCGGTATGATCTGCTACCCATCCGGACTACACGTATCCGCTATTAAATATGCTCGTAACTCAATTAGTAATCGTCCCAAAAATATTGTTATTGTTCCATTAAAATTGTTCGTGAGAAAATTGGCGTTTTTAAAATTTCCAAAAAAATTTATTTTATTTTTATTTTTAATAACAAATAATAAAAAATACGCATAGTGTCTAAGAATACCAAAACGATGAAAGGTAAGAATGCGACGTTAATTGTATCGGCGGGACCTGTAACAGTTGTTAGTTTCACTCGGTATAATTGTATATATAAATCTATGTACACTTTTTTGCGTTAGAAACGTGCAGTTTACGCGGTCGTACAACTGGTATTTATACACCGGTTGTATAACAGACGAATATATCTGTGCGGATAGTGTGTGTAACGGGTCTAGTGCGCAAATAGTTAATAAAAAAAATATGTACTTGTAAAAAAATGACGCTAAAATGTACTTTGTTTTGCCTTGTCGAACTAGGATTGCGGTTGTTGGACGTGAAGCCTTCGAGGAAACGCCGTCTGAGCGATAGTTCGGCAACGGGATCGCACACCACGTCCGCCGACGAGGTGATCATATCCTCTTCGACGGCGAGTACCCCGCCGCCCACAACGCCACCCCAGGAACCCCCCTCGTCGGCGGCGACCGACCCCGAGCTCGAGGAAAGGTTCAACTCGGAGGAGCTAAGGCATGTCGGGTGCCGGTTGGAGACCAAGGACCTGTGGGACAAGTTCAACGAGCTGGGCACCGAGATGATAATCACGAAAACCGGAAGGTAAAAGGACCGACGGCGTGCGTGTCGCGATAGAATTTTTTTTTGGACTCTTTTTCCGAATAATTCGGGTAGCTTTTTAATTTTGTCGATAATAGCGTTATATTCTATCGAAATAGCACATTTGCCGATTACTGAACATTTTTACCCCCGTGGAATTATATCTCTTGTTATTATCGCTTCACGATTAATTTACGAAATAGACCTTCAAAAAATAAGAAAAAAAAAACATTTTTTTTTTGACGCGTGCACGTTTTCAGATTTCCTATCGGAGTGGTGGTACCCATTGAAAAGTTTATCAAATCAGATTTTAAACCTTTTTACCGGATCTACACATGTGTAATAGGAAAGTTGTGTTTTTTGTGACGTGTTGCAACGCTCCTGTTAGGAGGTTCGTTATTAGACGTCTGAGATATCCAATACGAGTATGTGTCTATGATATGTCTAATAGAAAAAAACACGAGGTTCATTATTAACGAACCTGACGCGTTCGTACGTCCAGTTTGAAGTACACACTTCTCTGCGCTCTTGTTGCGATTTTATCGAAAAGTCGCGGGCACTTCTAATGGTGTTTTAATTCGATCTTAACGCGGACTGTGTCGTTAACGCAAATGTCAGATTTTTAACGCTGTTGGCTATTTTAATCCGCCGACCACGTATTTTAACGATTATTTAATTGGACGGCCTAAAGAGTGTCCATTTTGGTGGTGTAAATGCTTTTAGAAAAACGCGCACGCGAAAATATTAATAAACACGATAAAACATTAACAGAGTCCGCGCGGCTTGATAAATCTTTTTTTCGCGGCAAAAAAAACAAAATGGCCATGACCGGTTTCGTAAATATTATTCATAAATCCAGCGGTGGATCAAAAAAGACAATCGCCAGGAACCGGACAATTTTATATTTACAGAAACACGGATTTGTAAAATCACCACTAAAAACTGAGTCGCGCGTTTTACTTGTTATCGACGCATATAATTTTGCCAAACAAAAGCTACACCTGTCTGCTTTTTACATAAACGTTTCTATTTCCATCGCAGTGTTGAAGACCTTTTATGCCTTTTAACAGTTTACAAATAACATGTATTGTCGGTAAGTTACATATAACATCTGTTGTGTGCAACTAATTTAATTGTTTTCCTTCGTACTAACGTGCGAATAGCGTTTGGGAAAATAACGCTTTTTCTACTAAAACAAAAAAAAACTGAATCGACCTACTTTTTTTTCGACGAACAAATATAAACGAATACACAATCGTTTGTCGATAAATTACATTTTATTTAACCTTCAGAAAGCGTCGGTACGAAATTGTTTTATTGCCATATAAATGCGTGACAATTCACAGTGCCGTGCAGTTAATTCTCGATTCGGCCACAAGAGTAGGTATTATTCAATTAGAGGAACTGAGGGCGGCCCCTCTGTAAACGCGCAGAGCTCAAGTCGGTCATGTGTTTGTTTGTGCGGACATTTTGGGTATCGATTGGGCGTCGGGTAAAAAACCGTGTGCCGTACACGCGATCGCATTTTTTGTTTGTGCGATGCACCCGAAACGTTTATATTTGCTCGTGTTATTGCAAGCGGACCGCCGCAACGGTTTCCAGAAGTCTTAGAACAAATACCTCGGGGTCGCAATTATCGTTTTACTCTGACCCGGCGAAACGTATACATTATCGTTATTTACATAAAATTAAAACCGAGTTCTATAAAAAAACCAATCGTTTTTGACGCCAGCGATGTCTCTGTGCTGAGGGTACGCTATCAACTGCGTGTAAAAAGTTATCCGAGCAATTAACGCGTGTCGACGAGCAACAGGCGTGGCCCGAACAGGTCCGTCAGCAAATCAAAACCGCTTCGAAAATTGCCCGTATCGAATTACGGACGGCCACCACAAGGTGGTTTTTTTTTTCGGGGCGATTCGGCCGTCGTGTCGCGGACGGGGACACGATGGACGTTGACAATAGTTGTTTTTTGTACGCGACGTCACGCGTTTGACCGATTGGGTGGTTTTGCAACGTACTCGTCCCCGTCGGAACGGTACCGTTGCGATTCAACAGCCGTTTTTTTTTTTATCTCCCCGAAAATACAAAAGCGTACAACCGCGAATAGACAAAAAGGGGTTTCTACAAACACACAATATGGCAACCGTGCGCCGCCCGTCCACGGAACGCGCAATATATTATACAAATATTTAAATAAACCGCACACACACACACACACACGCCTCGTATTGTTGTACGCCACCGATGGCTCCACCTCCTCTACACACACAACAATAATAATGCCATATCATTGTAACGCGTATCCCGGGCGGCGTCTACCCCATGCAAAACAAACCCCGCGACACAATGCGCTTTGTTGTGCAACATACTCGGGGCGCGTACATACGTTCGCCCGCGGTTTTGCGTCGGTGTTCGATAATGTCGTCAAACGTACACGTTACGACATTTACACGTGCACCGGCGTACTACTCTACTGCTACCAACTCGTTTGAAAATAACGCGCACGATGTATATTTGTCCGTAAGTGTATTATATTTACAGAGGGAGAAGAAAGGAGAGGCGCTCGTTTCGCTAACGAGTCAATCCGCGACTCTCCCTCGCTCTCCTCTCACGATGGCGTTCGAGCATTCATAAACGTCTCGTCAAAAATAGTGGTGCGCTACTACAAGGTGGCCGCCGAATTCCTAGGGACGCGTAAATATATAAAAGGTTGTGAGGGGCGACTTTGGGTTAATAATTCAAAAGGAACCGAAGACGCGGCGGGGGGAGCACGGGAAAGACGTGCGGTGGCCAAGGGGAACGTGATATTATACGGAGGGCGACGCGAGGATGAGTACGCGGCCGGTGTACGAAACCGGAGGAATAGTGACGGCGTTGCCAAGTAACGGCCGGAGGAGACCCTCGACGTTTCGCGCGCGGGCGGCGGAGGAGAACGCAGTTTTTCTTTTTCCACTTTATTGTGCGCTCCCCTTAAGGGTAATTTGAATATTACCACAATAACTCACCGCCGCCGCCGTAATACGAGAAGATGGAATTTTAAAAACGTTTTCTCCTCCTCCGTCGTCGTCCGCGCCGAAGTGTATAAGGTGGGGGGGAGGCGTACGCGCGAGAGAAAAATAAATACTTGTTCTCTCTCACCGTTACCCGACACCCCCTTCTTGGCAAGGCGTCCATTACCCCTCGATTATGTCGTGTGTGTAATGTACGCGAGCGTACAACGTGACGATCATCGTCGTATTGTTGCCGTGTCGCACTTGAAACGAGTACAATAACAACAATAAAATAATATTTTATAATAAAATGCATTATAACGCGTACGTGTTATTGGAGTGCGTATCGTTTTAGTCGTACGCGATCCCAAAGAGCGCCACTGGTAATTTTAAACGCTTTATCTTTCAAATTCAAGGAGAGTTTTCCCGTGCGATTTTTCGAAATTGCGGATCGAGTTGACCGCGTTATTGATTATAAGATTTTCATTCGATTATCCGTAGGCGGAATGTACTTTACTCCCACACACGGTCGTTCTATCGTTTGGCCGTTAATTACGCGCGATTTTTTTATTTTAATTACGCGCACCGTCGTGTATCGTCTGCAGACCCAACCGATCAGCTTTGTTTTATCGGTGTCAGCGGCGTAAATTATTTACACGTATTTTAATTTTTAATCAAACCGCCTTCGTCCGTTGTCGACGGCCTGGATTATTAATAATACTTTGGTAAATTTCCATTTTTTTTCGCTTTTAGCAGTTAGTTGTCGAACACATAGGCAATTACTGTTTTTATAATTCAAACATTAGCGCGTTTTCGGGATTTTTTTTTAGCTACTAAAAAAACTCGTCAATTCAGGCGGCTCGATTAAAAATAGCGATACGCGCGGCGGTGCTAATTCGTTATGTTGTTGTTACCCGGGCGACACGACGTAATCTCGTCAACGTGTATAAATAAAATGCGAAAATGTTAATTTCGAAATAGCTCCGATAAGTCCTTTAGAGCCGCAACGGCTATCGAATACGTAAATATCGCGTTTTTTTATCTCGAATTCGGAGTAACCCAACGAACGCGTCCTGATGGGTTCGAGAATATATATATCATTTGCGCTATAGATGCGATTTTTTTTCTCACGACGGTGGCCAATTACACTAGGAAACGAGTTAAACTCGGGAGAAAAAAAAACTAGTGTACATTTAACCGTTGATTTACACTCGAGCTGTAGGAAACGACTGGGAGCGAGTAGAAATTGCAACTCGTCGTGTTTCGGACAGAAGGATTTTTCTGTTTTTATTCATCTCTCGTTTCAAAAATTTGTCTATTTTTACACTAGATTAATTGTCGCGTGTGTTTTTGTCTACCGTTTTTTTTCCACTTGATAACGACACGGTCATTACGCCTTTCCGGACCCAATTATTTATATATTCAGATGGTAATCCGACAAAAAACACTCGCCGTTTAGCGCGTCGCCAAAACTCGAATGTGTTTGCGCTCTCGTAAAAACGTGTTGAACTGGTTTTCGGGCAACTCGCCGTGTGTGGTACACACACACACATCATGTGAACAACAACAACAATAATAATAATATCGTTCTCCTATTATCGGTTTTTGATTCGTTCATCGCGACGGATTCGACTACGGTGGTTTTTTACGATTACTCTGTTGTGCTCTCATAAGCAGCAACAATAAACAATCGCTTTGTGTGTGCGTTTTATTATGTGGTACGCTCTCCCGGACTCCACCGGTTTTCCGAAACCAGCGGGTGACTGCACACACTAACAGTAGTAGTGGGCGCAGAAAAGTGACAAAATAAAAAATTCCACACACGTGTGCACAGGTAAGATACGTGCGAGCGCAATTAATGCAAAACGGATTAGTACCACGCCCCCCCCCCCGGACAGGGTCAGTTCTTTTTGGGTGGCGAGAAAAGGGATTTTATTATGGCTAATACTATTAGGTGTTATACACACACGAGTGCGCGCGCGACCGTCCGAAATAATTATAATAATATTTTTAAAAATTACGGCGTGTACTCACTGTGTATGTTTTTCAGGAGAATGTTTCCCACCGTCCGGGTGTCGTTCACCGGACTGAGACCGGACCGGAGGTACGCCGTGCTCATGGACATCGTGCCGGTGGACAACAAGCGGTACAGGTACGCCTATCACAGGTCGTCGTGGCTGGTGGCCGGCAAGGCGGCCCCGCCGGCTCCGCGCCGTCTGTACGCGCACCCCGACTCTCCTTTTACCGGCGATCAGCTTCGCAAGCAGGTGGTGTCTTTCGAGAAAGTCAAGCTCACCAACAACGAGATGGACAAACACGGACACGTGAGTATTAGATGTTTTTTATAAGGGTGCAGGTCATCACGGCAGGTTTGATCGCTGCGTATTGGCACACATATGGTCGTCGTAATTATAACAGTAGATCGGGTTGGGTTCGGGTACAGTATAGTGTCGAAGAGACGACAATACGGAGAGGCTGAGTACACCGTGACCGATAGTATGCGGATCTGCTGTGCGCGATCCTCTGCGCCGGATTAGGGTAATAAAAATATCGGATATTAATATTATTATAATAGTAATAATCTCGGGAATTAATTATGAAACGCCTGCCGTACGGGATTTATTGCGGTGCATCAGCTGCGTCGGGCGGTCGCGGACGATTAAAACACATTGACTTAATTTTTTTGTTTAAATCACATGTGTCGGCGGAATATTGACCGACGGGCCAATGTACCCTACGGGGACAAATTAACTACGCTGAGGGTTGGCAATACGATTTCAGTTTACGATTCACCCCTTTCTGTTCAAAACAAATCGCGTTTGTTTGTTTTTTTATTGTATCGTTTAAGGAACCGAATACGCGGCGTCGGGTTATCAACAATACAAATATACATGTATGTGCCCGTACTCCCAACGGTGACATCAGCATGTTTTTATTTTTGCATAATTGAGTGTACAAAACGAGATTAACCGCCATTAGGGCGGTAGTGGGTACGCTTGCAAACAATACGCTTGCGGTCACAATATGTTGATGTGCAATCGTGCGCGGCATGTAATTGTCGCAATGAAAAATGCCCTTAATTTTTGTTTTGTTTGTGCAGTTGGTGTTGAATTCGATGCACAAATATCAGCCGCGCATACATCTGGTGAAGAGAAGCGAATCGTCGGCTTGCCACGCCGTCACAGATCTCGAGGCCGAAGAATACAAAACGTTCGTGTACCCGGAGACGACTTTTACGGCCGTCACTGCCTACCAAAACCAATTGGTAAGTACAATGATCGAATGTGACCGTGACGCGACGCCGGTCGATGGATATCGTTGACCGCACCGTGTGTGTACGCGGGCGGTGGTAATGTCGTCGTGTCCGACCAAAGAGCTGAAAATAATTTTATTAATTGTATTTTAGGCGGTCAAACAAACGCCGGACAGCTTTTATTAATATTAAAAAAATAAGTAAATATTTCCGACGGTTCCCGTGACTATAGGCGTACGATCCTCTATACACAATATATAGAGTGTTCGGTAAGTAAGGAAACGGGTTTCCAATGTCGGTGACAATTGACCTGATCGTTACTCGCTCGGTATATATGTACGTTTGCGGTTAATTTTCGTGAATACGCCACGTTATCTTGGCACGGACGTCCGGGTATTTTAAAAACGGTACGACGCGCGCCATTTAGATTAAACGCCGTCGCGACGTTTTCCTTCGTCGCGGTCAGGTGCGCCATCGCTCTCAAAGTGTCGTCCTTTTATCGCGCGTGTAAACATGACCCTCCGTCGTCGTCGTCATTACGACTCGGCGCGGCCGATTTACTCCAATTAAACCGAATACCGTCGGTGCACGCGTCTTAAGCGTTTGCGTGTGTCCCGTGTTTAGCTCGGTCAATGGTCTTGCACCGCCGCCCTATTCCGACGACTGTTCTACTCTTCGAAACGCGCACCGGATAACTGCGGCAACGGCCTGTCGCTCTCGCGTGAAAAACGTTTACGCGAGAACAGCAAACGTCTTGTGCGCACTCCGACAACGTCCGTCGCGCGGGTGACGGACCGAAACGGTTTTGCGTATGTTTTTGGCGCGCGTATTCACTGACGGGAAAATCGTTTGTTCGTCCGATTGACTCAAAGCAATTGTAAACCAACAAGATAAATACAAACGCGTTGTTGTTATTCACATGGCGTGTACGATGTTTATTGTGTACAATATANTGACTCAAAGCAATTGTAAACCAACAAGATAAATACAAACGCGTTGTTGTTATTCACATGGCGTGTACGATGTTTATTGTGTATTGTACACTTTNAACGCGTTGTTGTTATTCACATGGCGTGTACGATGTTTATTGTGTACAATATATACACTTTTTCAGTTGAAATCGTGCACAAGCGGCGATTTGTCGTACGAGAGTGTGCTTAATGCGACCGTTATACACGATAACTCGTTCGTATTATGTAACGTTGTTGACGATATCTCGTGTTTTTGACACCACAAGGTGGGCCCCGAGACAACATCAAATTGTACTCTGTCTATTTATGCGTTTTCGACGAACCAATATTTGTCTTTACACTGCGAATCGATCGACCAAAACGATTGTCCGTACACAGGTAAAGGCTTTTCTCTCTCTCTCTTCCCGTCGGTTTCGCGTGGGCGACGAACCACACCCGAGACGCTGTACGACATTCGTGTCTACCGAAGTTTTTCGAATAGTTTCGTCAATTATATTTTCTCGCGACGATACCGTCACGAGTCGGACGGCGATGATATTTTATAACGACGCCGAACAGTTAATTGGGCCGGTTCGTCGCTTCTGCTCATAATTGGAACCGTCGGCCAAAAAGCATACCGTTCGGCAGACTCGCACACGACAACGTCACCGTCTTGTTTATTTATTTTTATTGTGGCCGCCGTTCTCGACGACGTGCAAAACACTGTAACGTCGACGTGTCGCGGGCGAGTCATCGAAAAGTGTCGCGCGCGTTGTCTCTATCGTTTGGGCTTTACAGTTTCGCACTGGTAATTTAGAGCGCTATACGATATAGTCCGAAGATTCGTTGGAGACGTCTCGTATGCGCGCGGCGGCGTTGATCGAAAAGTTGTTGAGGGGGTCGATAATCGAATTTCAACGGGTGGGGGGGGGGGGCGG